TAGTGATAATTACTATAAAAATGATATTCCTGACTATAATTATTTTACTATGCAATTATAGTCGCAAATACTACGCACTTTTCTCTCAGTGTGCCTCGTGTGTTTTAATCCCAGTTTTTTTAGGGACGTAGTACGCCCGCGTACTACTTGCGTAAAATTCGCGCGGCCTTCTTTCATGAATGGTGCGCGCGCGCCGGATTTTTAAAACGTCATAACTTGGCGAAAAATCGATGTAGCGACACGAACCAAAAACCAATCTTCTTCGTTTCGCATCCCACAGATGTCTACTGAATATGTATATCCCTGTCATGAAACTTACACACGACAATGGAATAAAAAGTAAAAGGCTGTAATATAAATTATACGTATAATCAACTTATTTCGTCTTCGTATTTAGTCTTCCTTCGTCGGGGCAGATGGGACATAGTATCTTTCGTCGCTCCTAGCCGTACGGTCCGGTCATTTTTGTATTGCAAGCGTCGATCGTATCGAAATGCACGACCACGAGAAGTTAATTAAAGAAACACTGCGTTACCTACAGTATTTAAAAAAAAATAGGCGTAGCGCGGACACGCACCAAGTGACGACTTTATCGGCAGTGCTTGAAAATGGGCGTAGCGGAGTAGTTCCAAATATGAAAGTGCGCGTAAGGCGCTGGAAACGGTAACAAGTAAAACGTCGGTGTAGCTGCTCCAAGCTGCTCTCAGGTTTCTCTCTGATCGTAGTATATTGGATACACGATGGCTGACCACCTTGCGCGAGTGCGAGAGGACGAGTCGACATCGTTATTTTAATTACAATCTTGCAAGAGAGATGTAAAAGCATTAAATTGAAACGCGATATACCGTCGTCAGTTTGCTTGGTGCAGTGCAGTGCTGGAGTGCAGTGCAGCGGTGTTGTCCGACCGTTCTAACGTGAGGATATGTTACAATGGCGGGCTCTATAGAAATACCACTCCGCGATACAGACGAGGTGAATATATCTTCTCTATTGATCACATCGTTAATTCGCGAACCCCGTAACGTCATCTCGACTGTGAATTCGACGAATTATGGGAGGGACAAAATTTTCGCGTCGTGCTCAGCGACGTTAGTGCAGACCTAACCTCAACGGAAAAGAATACACTTCTTCATACTGTATCGCACGAGATATCGTGTCTACACGCTCGAATTGCAACGTGGCCGCTTCAGCAGCTGGGCGTGATTGTTTATTCTTAGTGGAACTTTGAGAAAAAATATTTCCACTCTTGTTTCATTTTCTCTCATTCCTTCCGTGTATTTATGTGTATACATATATATATATGTTCTCGCACATCGTTAATTTTTCTATTTGGGTGCTTTCCAGTAACGCACACAGGCGACACTGTGTAACACAATCGTTTTATCTTTGTTGTTTGCCAATGCTAGACAGGAATGAAATGATTCTCTGTGTTGCACTGCGTCAATCTGTAGGCTTGTTTCTGTTGCTACACTGGTGAACTACCGCAATAAATTGGAGTAAGACAAGTACAGTTTTTCTCATTCTAGCTTACTGCACTAGTTCACCACTGCAGCAGTAGAAAACAAGCCTCGTGTCTCTTGCTGGAAAGCACTCTGTGACTGCAAGGCTTACATTTGTCGTATCACAAATTTTTCAAGCGTGTTGATTGACTGTAAAATAGGAAAGTTCTCGAGTATCTAGAAATTTTCTAGCTTGTAGCCCATCAACATGCATGAAAAATTTGTCGTACGACAAATGTAATATTAGCCTAAGTCTGCGATATTGTATCTACAATATGATTCGATTCCACCCACATGTCTTCTTAGTCCTTTCGACCTGTGACAATTGTATCTTATGTACAAGTTATTTAAAATATAATTTAATTCTATCTATTTTCAAGTATTGTTAACCCTTTCCACCTGTGGCAATTATATCTTATATATCAGCACATAGCTGCAAGTCTACGATCTACAACAGAATCTAATTCTACCTATATACGTCTTTAAATAATCTTTTCCTGTGATAATTGTGTAATCTTATACATGGGTACATAATTGTGATTCTATGATTTTGCGTGTCAAATATAAATTTAATTAAAAAAAGTCACTTCCACTTATTTATCCTTATTCTTACAATCTAATCCAAATTTCCCATTTCCGATATTCCATTTTGATATTCCCAATGCAATCACATGGTAATAATATACATAGGTAAAATGTTGCAATCTTTATATGTTATCAATGTCAACACTAATATTAGAAAATATTAAGATCGCAAAATACTCGTATATGAGTGATTCTCCCATAAGATTACATTTTAATTGTTCTGTTTAATCTCTCGTAGGTTATAGAGCTTTATCTAGATCAGTTACCGGACGGAGATGAAGTACTGGGGATTCTACGGCAAGAACATGCCCAACTCACCATCTGGGTCAATTTGGCCGTACGTAGAAGAGAAAGCTCTAATTAAAGAAAGTATGGTCTACGGAATCTATCTAAGTCTGCCTCTCATTTCAGCTTGAGTATTACAAGCAGCAAAAGATCGACGATTTCATTAAGATACTCGAGTCTTCTCGTCTTGACGCAAATGTCGATTACCGCGACTATGAGAAGGATCAGATGCGAGCTCTTGACATGCTGGCTGCCTACTATGTTCAGGAGGCCAACAAAGAAAAGAATAAAGATAAGAAAAGAGATCTCTTTACGAAAGCAACCTTATTGTATACAACAGCTGACAAGATTATCATGTATGATCAGGTATGTGTTATCGCGCGCGCTTTAATATCCAGTATCTACAATTTTTCTCATTTTTATATTCGCCGTTTTCCTTTTACTACAGAACCATTTGCTCGGTCGAGCTTATTTCTGCCTGCTGGAGGGCGACAAAATGGAGCAGGCTGACGCGCAATTTAATTTCGTGCTGAATCAGTCGCCAAATAATATACCTTCTCTGCTCGGCAAAGCTTGCATCGCTTTCAACAAAAAAGACTACAGAGGTGCTCTTGCATTTTACAAGAAGGCCCTGAGAACTAATCCAAATTGTCCAGCCGCTGTTAGACTGGGAATGGGACACTGTTTCATGAAACTGAATAATCAAGAGAAAGCGCGACTTGCATTCGAGAGAGCCTTACACTTGGACGGGCAATGCGTCGGGGCACTAGTCGGCCTTTCGGTCTTGAAACTGAATCAGCAACAGCCCGACAGCATAAGGACCGGCGTGCAAATGTTATCGAAGGCGTACACGATCGATTCGACAAATCCGATGGTGCTGAACCATTTAGCGAACCATTTCTTTTTCAAAAAGGATTACAATAAGGTTCAACACCTAGCGCTGCACGCGTTTCACAACACGGAAAACGAAGCCATGCGGGCAGAAAGTTGCTATCAATTAGCTAGAGCATTTCACGTTCAAGTAAGCTATAAAGGAGCAGTTTATGTTATTTGTGTCGACGTTACCTTATCTTTCGGTTAACTAACAAAAGTGAAAATATTTCAGGGTGATTACGATCAAGCGTTTCAATATTACTATCAGGCAACACAATTTGCTCCGCCTGTATTTGTACTGCCACATTTTGGCCTAGGACAAATGTACGTTTATCGCGGCGATGCAGAAAATGTAAGAACGTGCAATTATCTAAATTCGATTATTTGTATTGACATGTAAAATAATAAATTATCCTCGATAACAGGCAGCCCAGTGCTTCGAGAAAGTCTTGAAAGCGCAACCAGGAAATTACGAGACCATGAAGATTCTTGGCTCACTTTATGCCAACTCAAGTTCTCAATCGAAACGCGACATTGCCAAAAATCATTTGCGAAAAGTAACGGAACAATTTCCCGATGACGTCGAAGCTTGGATCGAATTAGCGCAGATATTAGAACAGAGTGATCTGAATGCAGCCTTGAATGCTTACGGAACCGCAACCAGGATTTTAAAGGAAAAAGTTGAAGCGGAGATACCGCCGGAAATCTTGAACAATGTGGGAGCGTTGCATTACAGGTACGTATATGCTTTCATATCGTTTTAAATTTATACATATTACTAATTTATCTTTTACTTCTCAGACTCGGTAACTTGGAGGAAGCCAGGAAGAATCTAGAAGAATCCTTGGCGCGTTCGAAAGCAGACGCCCTGCACGATTCTGTTTATTACAATTCGATAGCAGTGACTACAACGTATAACTTAGCGCGTCTCAACGAGGCGCTGTGTGTATTCGATCGAGCGGAGAAACTGTACAAGGACATTTTGAAGGAGCATCCGAATTATGTGGATTGTTATCTGAGACTCGGCTGCATGGCCAGAGACAAGGGACAGATATACGAGGCGTCTGATTGGTTCAAGGACGCCCTGAGAATCAATAACGAACATCCGGACGCATGGTCACTGCTGGGTAACTTGCATCTGGCCAAGATGGAATGGGGTCCTGGCCAGAAAAAATTCGAGAGAATTCTGAAAAATCCGACTACGAGCACAGATGCTTATTCCTTAATAGCATTGGGAAACATTTGGCTGCAGACGTTGCATCAGAGTGGAAAAGATAAGGAAAGGGAGAAGCGACATCAGGATCGAGCATTAGCCATGTACAAGCAGGTAAGATCTAGTTCATCTAGTTGATCGAGACAATTGTGATTATGACTAATACGATTACGACTAATAGGTTCTGAGGAACGACCCGAAGAATATCTGGGCTGCGAATGGTATTGGCGCGGTACTCGCGCATAAGGGTTGCGTAAACGAGGCTAGAGATATATTTGCTCAGGTGCGCGAAGCAACGGCAGAATTCTGTGATGTCTGGCTGAATATTGCGCACATCTATGTGGAACAGAAACAATTTGTCAGCGCTATTCAAATGGTAAATAATAATATATATATATTAGTTTTCACACATGAAAGATAATTAATTCAAACTTATTAATTAATTTAACATTTTGCATTACAGTACGAAAATTGTTTGCGCAAATTTTATAAATACCATCACGTTGAAGTCTTGCAATATCTTGGAAGAGCTTATTTTAAAGCTGGCAAGTTGAAAGAAGCAAAGCTGACGTTATTAAAAGTAATTAATCTTATGTGAATATTTCACGGATTATTTTCCTGTCTTAATATGCAGTACTTAAATTACGGGTGTACTTTTAGGCACGTCGAGTAGCCCCACAGGATACCGTCTTATTGTACAATATTGCTCTCGTACTTCAACGACTGGCCACGCAAATTCTTAAAGATGAAAAGTCAACTCTGACCACTGTGCTTCAGGCGGTTCACGAATTAGGCCTCTCGCACAAATATTTTCAATATTTGTCAGCGCACGGCGACAGGATGGAACAGTTGGCAGAGGCTGAAGCCCGGAGGTGTCAAGATTTATTGTCGCAAGCGCAGTACCACGTTGCTAGAGCTAGAAGATTGGATGAGGAAGAGAAGATGTTGAGACGGAAGCAAGAAGAAGAAAGGTGTGTCACTCTTGCCAGAGATATTCTTTTTTATATGCTTGTCACTAAATTATTTACACTTATAGGCAAGCCTTCAAAATGCGTCAGACGGAAGAGCAACGCAAGCTGGAAGAGATGCGTCGCCAAAAAGAAGAAGAGATGTTGCAGAAGCGACAGGAATATGTGGAAAAGACTAAGAATGCGCTGGTATTCGGCGAAATGCCGTCGGAAAAACCCGGAAGAAAGGGCAAAAAGGTTCGAACTGACCAGTACATCAGTGATAGTGGAGGATCCGAAAGAGATGAAGGCAGGGAGGAAGTGCCGAAAGAAAGGAAGCGCAAGAGGAAACCTAGCGGTGAAACTAAAGAAAGAAAGAGCAAAGGTAAAGGCAAACGTAGAAAGTATGGTAGTGGCAACAGTGGTAAGAAAATTAAATTTTCTTTTCACGTAGAATATTGTTATATAGAATATTATTCTAAACGCAAAGAGAAGCAGTTTGAAAAATAATATATTTGTAGGCTCGGACAGTGATCAGCCAAAACGCAAGCGTGGTAAGAAAAACGCGAGGACTAGAAGAGAAAAATCTACGCGTAAGGGTGCAGTTGAGACCCTCAAAGGTAAGCTGGTTAAATCGAAGGAAACCATTTCGACGAGTGAGTCAGACAGCGATACGGGTGGCCTTAAAATCGCTAGCGGGTAAGCACAATATTTTAATATTACACGATTATTTCTAATTTCATAGTCCACTAAGTCAGAGTTGGTTTAATTTATGAGTCGATATCATATTTACGATTTCTAGACTAGCACTGAATGTTAAACATCTTGTATAATTAAAACTTCTTATTCAAATATGCTAATTTTTTAGTTTAGTCTAAAATCAACGAAATCCGAATTAATCGTGTTAAATTTTGTTATAACTTTTTTCTGTTACAGCGGCGAAAGTGGTAACGAGAATCAACCACGCAGCAGTAGACGAATTGCTTCCGATTCCGAAGCGTCTCGCGCCTCACGCTCGAGATCTCGTTCAAGATCGAAGTCTGGAAGCCGCTCAAGAAGCAGTTCGCGTTCGCGTTCACGTTCGCGTTCCGCTTCCCGTTCGCGGTCTCCATCTCGATCACGGTCGCGCTCTCGATCTCGATCCGTTTCTGGATCCAGATCCAGAAGCGTTTCGAGATCAAGAAGCCGCTCGGCATCCGGGTCAAGATCAGGGTCGGCTAAAAGTAGGTCAAGATCGAGGTCGGGTTCGCGCAAGAGTGGCTCGCGATCAAGGTCTAACAGCGGCTCGCGAAAAAGTAGATCAAAGTCAAGATCAAGGTCGAGTTCGAGAAAGAGCGGCTCTAGGTCGAGGTCACCGAGCGGTTCAAGGAAAGGCGTATCAAGGTCCCGATCCAAAAGTGGCTCGCGCTCAGGCTCGGAGGAACGCAAGTCGAAAAGCAAGAGTCGGTCGCGATCTAAATCGAAGTCTGTCTCAAGATCAAAATCAAGATCGAGGAGCGGCAGCAGATCGCGATCGCGTTCTAGATCGAAGAGCGGTTCTCGAAGCCGGAGTCCGAGCGGATCGGCACGGTAAGTTTATTCTTATCACGCGTAATACAATTATAACATATACCATTTTTCGTATATGTTAATTACATTAAACATGTTAATTTCTTTCACAGTTCTGCATCCCCGGTATCTAGAAAATCAGTATCGGGAAGTGGCGGTAGTGATAGCGAATAAATCAGCTCTTGCAACTGTATCACAGTGCGTCACAGTGACGAAAGAAAAAAGATTTCACATAGTTAACATTATAATTTTTATAAAGATTGCTTTATGAAGTTCTTTCAGTACAAACTTAACAGGAACCACATTTAATTATCTCTGTGCGATTTATTTCTTGTATAATTTTTATAAAACATGAGATAATGCCGGAAGATAATGATTGCCGGAAACAGTTTTATGGTCCCTTTTCTCTTTTGACATAGCAATAATTATTAAAAATTTTTATATATTATTTAATATATTATTCTCGGCAACCATCTCATAAATTAATAAAATATATTATTAACGGAGACGTAAATATTGAAAGACCAAAAATTCTAAAGTTAACTGCGACATCTGTGCAATTTAATACATACCTGGGTATTGAGTTTGTCTCTGATTTTCTCTATGTTAAAAACAGGATTTTGTAATTTCATTTTTCCCCTATTAATTATAATAATAATAAGGCGATAACTTCGCGTATTATCATATACAGCACTGCGGCGATAATAATAAATAAAAAATACCAGACAAAAAAGTGTATCTACGGTCAAATAAAATGAGTTTTATATTATAATTCAGTGCTAAATAAAACAACGAAAAAGAAATTTTACATTGGATCACTTTCTTTACCTAAATCAAGCGGCGAAATTTTCTTTTAATCTAATCTAAGCTTTTCGAGACTAACAACACACGAGCGCATTGTGAAATAAATGTACAATAGTCCACATTCGCTTAGTCAGACGGTCGACGCTCCTAGGTTCGAACATACTCATACGTTGTTATGCAAATATAATTAGATCGCTGTCGTGTCGTGCGAGGAAGCAGTGCGCATATCGATCTCGCAAGCGGTGAAATAAATTATTAATACTCATTCTCGAGGTGAGTGACACATTCGCGTGGCCTGCAACGGCACCTTGCGTACAGGTTGCCGGTGATAATCCCACTACCCTCGCACATTTTGCTCTAATTTTCTGACCTTTCCAACGTCCTTCGATTGTCCTTTCCCCGTGTCGACCCTACCACCCTTTTCTAAAAAGCCCAGGGTCTTAACAGTGATACAATGTACTCGGAGAAGAAAGCATTCCCTACATTCCCTCATGGAAATCTTAGTGTTAGCTATATTCAATTATACACATGCAAAAACCGTAAACGAAATCTCCATGAATATTTTAGCATCATGTTGAAATTATGATTAACGAATAAATGATAATAAATAATGCTTTTGTAGTAAATTCGTCCAGTTATATTTAATGAGTTTCTACCAATGTACTAGTAACGTTTACGTACAAACGGGACGTTAACGTGCAAAAGCAGTTGCGTCTGTGTAACAATTCCACGTGGGGAAACATACTTGCCACGTGGTAATTTCATTATGAATGTTACACGAATATGGTCTTTGTAGAAAACGGATTAACTGGTTTCGGCGCATGTCAGCGCACGTAATTATGGTTTAATTGTAATCACATTTCCAGTTCAGCACTCGTCCGCTTCCATTGTCCGTGGATTTAATCACGTTATCCTGCTTTAATTAATGAGCGTATCGGCGAGGAAGTCATGTTGCGAAAACGTCTCGATTGTCGTGTCTGTCCATCACTCCGCGGTCTTCCCATGACCTCCCGTGACTTCTCTTATCTATCGTGTCATTCGCGTTATCGCCGGTTTCTAGCTCTAAAGACTCGATCGAACTTTATCGTAAAAGGCAGCCTAGTTCCACCGTGTCTATAAAGTCTGATAACTTCCTGTCAGGTGCACGAGACGTTATATACGATTTCTGATATACTCACGTTGACATATCTATCATTCCCAAGATACCATACATAACACGATCTACTATTATTCCTCTGCGTCTCTCCCTTTCCCCCTGTTTTTTTATCATGGTTTTAGCGACGAATTTCTAGTTTAAAATAAAATGCAAAATTGAGCCTCAATAAATATAAAATACAATACAATTTTTTAATAAATCTTTTTATAAATAAATCTAATCTAGATCAAATCTAGAATCGATCATGATTCTTCAGTGACAATAGTTCTTTTTTTATTGCATGTTCATTTCTCTACTCGATCCTTTAATTACATTTTTTTATACGAGTCAAATTTTACTTTTGAAAATTTTCGAAAACTCACGCTAGCTGCTTTGTCCGGCTCTGACGAGAGCTCTTTATTTTTAAACCAAGTTTTACGACAGGTGCGTTGCATTGCTTTAATCTCAATAGCATATAAAGCACGGTAAATCTAGTGCCACACGTGGCAAGCAAGATTCCATCCCATACATATGTAATAACGCTATCAGCTGCAGTGCGCGGAAGAGTAAGTACTTTGAATTTCCCACGAGTAATTTTCAGTACCGCCGCTCATCGATAATAGTTAGTAACTCGTAAGATATCTTTAGATTCGGTAAAATCAATTCTCCCCATGTATATTAATGCAAAATTAATTAACTAAATTGAATATTCAAGTGTCTCACGTAAAATCTTCTAGAGCCTCGTTGACTCAGTGTCAGGCTATTCAGAATAAGTGGAGAAATACTGGTAAACGTGTTACGTTTGTAGCTGCACAAATAAGAAACAAAATTACTGCTATTTATATCTTATTATATTTAAAATATTTAAATTAAGCACCGTCGAAGTATTTCCTGTAAATTCTTGCCAAGTCTTAATTACACTCCCACACCCCCCATGAGTCTTTTTAATAATTAAAGCTCTCGATTCAGAAAATGGGCGGATTTGTACTGCCAAGGATACCGTGCGCCGAAATCTCCGTTCGTTATCGTTACGACCGCTTAACTCACACAAACGCAATCTTCGTTCAAGTATACGTACTCGGCACATCTAGAGGGAAATCTTTAGGCTGATATACAAGAAGATCCAGGTCGGCGAATGGAGATATTAAGGAAAGAGGGTTGCGAGTCCCAGTCTCTACTTCGCTGGGTATATACCGAGAGCTCCAAATATTTGCCGCTTCGATCCACCGGCGCGTGGTGTGGATTTATTTTCTCGCTCCCGCCTACTACCGCTTTCAATCATTTGCCAAACCCCGCTAAATTGGCCCAACCACTTCAACTTTGTTATTTCACTTCATTTCCCCTTTTTCCTCTCTAGATCCTTTAATTAACTTAATTAGATGCTTATAAGATACGCCTTTCTGCCAGAAAAGTTATTGCTCGAAGATTATTAAGTTTCTCACGTGATTAATCGTCTATCGCGTTTAATCGGTGTAAATCACAAAAAAATCGAAGTCTAAGATACATACATAAATAAGCATGTATTCTTCATTATACAGTATCTTGTCTGGTTTTAACGATACGGAAAATAAACGAGTTACTCTAAAGAAAGATATCAAGCTTTTTAACTATATTTTCAACTTTAACGATCTTGGCTTCTTGCAGTGATTATACAGAATTTCATGAAACCAATCATTGAAATAGGAGAACTGCCTAACTTTGCCTCTCGGTAGACTGAAGTTTAATTAGTTCTACAACTTAGTATCACGGAATTATGCATAGCCACAGGTACGTCAAAGCCAATGCATTATTATTTGCGCCGCGTGTGTTTAGTCTGCCCGTGGATTGTTCCAGAATTTACTGTAACTTTCAACTCTCTCTTTTGTTTTGCATTGTCTTTGACGACAATAAGTTTATATTTCACAATGAGTTTATTATATTAGTCCAACAAATTGGCAAAATTTATTTTAAATTTTACCACTTCTAGATCTTAAAATTTTCTTAAATTCTCAAACTCTTCTTCTTCCACGAGAAAATATTTTCTTAAAACTGAGAAGCAAATATAAATGCATTTTTACTTTTTAATTTAAAAGGAAGAAAAATAAATTTTTAATTTAATCATAAATCTTTTCGTGTGTATATATATATAGTATGTATTACAGAAGTGAAAATGAAAGAGAGTTAAACATCCGAGAAGTGAAAAATAATTATACGCCGACCTCTCATAATACGTTGGACTTCAGAGTATCCTCTTATTCGTCGCGATAAAGAATCCGCGCGTAGAAACGCAGACTTTGAATCAGAGCCCGAGTGGAATTTTAGCTTTCTTTCGAATTTAATTTTCGTGAGCGCGAAATTGCACATAGAAGCGAGACAACGATTAAACAAAACCGCGGTAATAAGATTGCTAATGAATGACTTGGAATTACGAGTCGGCTTGCTTTTCGAGATGGCAAAAATTGCGACGAGCGTCATCGCAAACGTTATTGTGCAGGCTCTCGAGAGAGACTCCAAGCGTTTTCGTTTGTGAATCGCTTCAACAAGATTAATTACCATCGTTTATACATGCCCGTCGTTTATATATGCCACTTGTCCCACGTCGAACGCTCATTACGTCAAGGGTTACGAATTGTTATCGTGCCGTCGTTATAGCGCGGTTGTCAGATTATTGTTATATCGTTGATTTAAGAGGCTCAGGCTGCATAACACTTGAAGGCATTAAAGGAGATAATTGATATTTCAATTAATTGTACCTAATAAAATTAACTTAATAATTTAGTGTGGCATAGCATAAATGAGTAGGTAGTATATCATTAATAATTATGATAGATTTAACCCGATAAAATATTGTACAGATTATTACTGACGTACTTCATACTGACGTAGGATATTTTCGGTAAGTGACTTTTAATGTTTGGCGCCGTCAGGACGATCGATGACAGATCGGGAGCGAAGCAATTCGGCAAAATCGCGAAGCAACATATTACAAGGTAGTACCAAAGACGTTTACACGAATAGTGCTAAAATTACGACTGTGTAAACGCCGTAGAAGTTGGACGGCACGTGCCTCCGCCTCGTAAACTTTATTGCCACGTGCGTAAAGCGTTCTGGGCGTTGAAACTTTAGCTTTACGATTCTTGATACGAGCCTTACGGCCGTAAGCAATCGCGGTCGGGTTATCTCCACTTCGTTGGGGGATGAAAGATGCTTAGGCAGCGCCAACATTTTTTATTGCGACATTTTCGGAACGATAAAGTTATACCCACCGCAACGTTGCTGCACGAGGGTATACTGCGACTTTGTATTGTTTAAAATAATCGAAAAACTGATTATAACT